CTTCACTGAAACTGAGTTAAAAAAAAAATCTGTGAAATAATGAAAATACTATTTCATAGAACCTAAGGCAATAGCAACCATAAAAGCAACCCTCATTTCAGAAGTTTTTAAAACATGAAAAAATGGCCAGGTGGGATGGTTACATGCATCCTGAGAGCAGAGGTGTGAAGAGGGTAAAAACTGTGCATGTTGGAATCAATAACATACAGTAGCACAGGTTAAGATTCCCTTCTGAATGCTTGGGATCCAAAGTATTTAAGCATTTGGAATATTTCTTAGACTTTTACTGATTTGACAACCCTCATCTGAAAGTCCAAGATTCACTGCCTGGGACTCAGAACATTTTGGATTTCAGACTTTTGCATTAGGGTCATTCAGCCAATACCCAGCTTAAAGGTCCTGTCCCTCCGTGTGGGGACCAAATGAGATCATGCGGGTCAAATTCTCAGCCTCTGAGGGAGCAAGGGCTCAGTCAATGGTTGAGGCAGCTCTTAGGGTTACTGACCTCGTTACCCAGAGCCGGCAGTAAACAGTAACAAAGGGGTCATGCTAGCCTAGCAAAACGAGCCAGACATTGTCTTTGCTCTGCAGCCAGCATGCAAGAGGTTGATCCGCAATTAAATCTGCAACAGAGACTAAGTACGGAACACACACCACACTCAAAGCGAGTAGAAATTGTCCTATTTGTTTTCTGGATGGAGATTCAGATCTGAGATATGATTTTCCAGATCCCAAAGGCATGAGGGAAAACATTTTTAAAAAGGCATCTTTCACATCACAGCTTGGAGCCCTTCTTTGACTTTGGAGGAGGAAAGGAAGTTTCTGTAACATTTCACTGCTGGCTTTTCAAGTGTTTGCTTTTTTCTTTGCTCACTAATGCTCCTTCTCTGATGTTCTCTATGGTTTGATCCAGTCACCGAGCGGCTTACAAGGGAAGCCTTTCTGTGCAGCCTGCTGTGATGTCACTTTTCACGTGGGGAGATTAAGAGGGGCCAGAGGTGTCTGTCTGGCTCTTTCACCTGTCTCCAAAGCGGCTGGTTCCTAGCCTGGATTAGGCATAGGCCGGGTGCCAGAGAATAGCCATTCACTGCAGAGACACTGTAGGGAGGGACTCTGACGTGGGGAGAATGAGGCCAGAATTCCAAGCAGGGAAAAATACTTGCTTGGTGCCTTGGCCTCTGCAGCAGCCTCTCTTCCCACAGTCTGAGCTCGGTGCATTTTAAGAGACCAAACAGATGGAAGCGGGGAGCTCAGTGACATGGCCAAAACATGGCCCAGGTGACCGAGAGCAGCCTGCTGTCCTTAGGTATGGAGAAGGCCCATACAATGGCAGCGGCTGTCCTATAGAGACAAGGCCTCTGCTATTTTTCAGAGAGATTCTAAATTGGCTCCCTCTTCCATTTCTGACTTCTGCTTGTTCAACATCATGACTGGTACAGGTGTTTATGGAGAAGGACAAAGAGGGGTTTATGGTGACAGTTTATCTACCTCATGTGCCTGCCTTCTTAGAAGCAAATAGCATGGAAGCTATGGTTGACCGGTTACACCATGTGAAAAAGAGATGTTATGTGGTCACTGCTGAAATAAGCGTCTCTGGGGAGTTTTCAAGAGGCAGCTCTAGGTCACAATGCCAGAGAAAAAGCAAACTGCCTAAGGAGACAGAGGCAGCTTGAACTTTAAGCATGTGCATTGGGTGAGCTGTAGTTCACCAACGCAGCTCTGGTTTCCTCTCTGCAGGCCAATTACAAGTGCACTGCCCAGCATTGAAAGCCAGCCTGTAGGTCCCGAGGCCGGATGTGGCATGGGTGGGAGTGGTGCTGAGGGACCATCCCGGGCACATCACATGCATCTGTGCCGTGTGCTCCCACCTCCCAGCTCCCCAAAGGACTCCTCAAGGATGCAGATGCCACTCAATTTGATTTCTCCCTAGGAAAAGTGCACTCACTCACGTCATGATTTTCCTGAAGGCAGTTTGCTTCTAGGTTGCTTTGGAAATTTTATATCTGTGTACAGTTCTACCTTATCCTGCCTCAGGCTTCACCTGCTGTTTGAGATGCTGTGATAGGTTCCCCTTTGTGGCCAAGCACTGTCTTAGTTACTTTTCTCTTGTTGCTTACACAAAACACTTGACACCCATTGTTAAAGGAGGAAAGGTTTAGTTGGCTCACAGTTTGTAGAGGTTTCCATTCAAAATTGGTTGCTCCAAGGCAGGGTGGCATGGCAGAGGGCTTCACAGAGGAGAAACAGTCTATGGCAGGCAGAAGGCAGCAAAGCTGTGAGGTAGCAAGTGATGACAGCAGCCCTCTTTCTCTCATACTGTATCCAGCACGCACACCTCTAATCCTAGCATCGCACCATGAATCAATCCCAACATCGCACGTCCTAGATTCAGCCACCTCTGAAAAGCCCCACCTATGACCTATGACCTATGACCACATGAGGCTTTGGGGGGACATCTAGATATAAGTCATGACAAGCACCGTGTGGGGATTAAGGTCTTCAACTGAGTCTCAGTGGTCCAGTCATCCGGGTCCCCTTGGATCAAGAACAGCCAGAATGGTGGAGGCCCAGACATGAGTCTGAGCCAACAATCTGCAGATGTTGAAGTGAAAGAGGACAGTGGCTTCATTCGTCGCACTGAACTTGCCACTTGCCTAGTAGCAACAGGAGCTTGGAACTCAACATTGGTGTGAACTCTACTTGTTATTTTCTGCAAAACCAAGGTTTACTAGCCCATGGCTTCTGCTCACATATCTGGACCCTCTGTGTGTAGAAAACAAACAAAATGCTCTCTGGGCAGGTCACATACAGCCCTACTCCCTTGGCCCCTGGCTCCTGGGCAGTACGCAACCTTCATCTTGCCCAACCCCGAGAATGTGTCAGGTGATGACAGAGGACTTGTCACCACTGGCAACAATTACAGAGCCAAGAGACTCAGCAATGGTATAGGGCAGTGGTGGCAGACCTATGGCACTATTTGTTATCACTGAAGGCTCTAAAAGGTTCACCATCACTGCTATAGGAAATGAATGGGCGCCTTCCATCATTAGTCCGTTTCACTGGTGCTGGGACAGTTTTATTTTGGTTTACAGAGTTAGACAATTTTAGGAGCAAATCTTTACGTTGGTGGAGAAGAAATAGTTTGTGAAAGGTCTTTCTCTTCTGTTTCTCCAAAGGGTCAAACAGCACTGACAACTGGGAGTATACCCACTAAAATCTGCTCCCGTTGCCCCTTTCCCCCTTCCTTCCGGTGGCCTATGCCAGGGAGGACACCACCGTGCCACTGCCCGGGGCTGGGGGCCAGGATGCCCTCAGCAAAGTGTCTGCTTCTCTGCCTCAAGCCTTGGCTTGTGGAAGGGCATCAGCCTAGCATCATTCTCCTTTCTGGTTTGGATCACTGACCCCTTAGAAAATTGGAGAAGCTATGCATGTTACTTCCAGAAACACACACAGTGTTGCAACCTCAGTATTCCACGTGCAGTTTTAGGGAGCCTGAGAATCGGCCAAGAATGAGATCGCAATCTCTTTGTTGTTTTTAGTCCAGGGATCCTCTGGAAGCCTGAAGAAGCTATGGACCCTCCCTCAGAATAATAAGTTATAACGGTAATAGTAATAGTAATAATAGTAACAATGAACCACACAGATCTTAAAGAGAAACCCATGATAATGAAATAAAAATTTAAGAACTTTTTCTGATAAAAACCATGAACTTTTCTATAAATGCATTAAACAACAAGATCTAATGGTGAGTCTAATAACTACCATAATCCTGAAGTAATGACGAGCACGTAAGGTATTTTACAAAGACGGCCACACTGTGGTGCAACGTGAGAATGTGTGGTGTCCCTGGGGGTGGTCACTGCAGGCTCTGCTGTGTATGCCGCTTAGGTGCATCATCGAGGGCGGGCTGAATATCGGCAAGGTCCACACTGGTGCAACGTGAGAATGTGTGGTGTCCCTGGGGGTGTCACTGCAGGCTCTGCTGTGTATGCCGCTTAGGTGCATCATCGAGGGCGGGCTGAATATCGGCTGGGGGCTGTGTGTGAAAATCTAGGGCAGCGATGGCGAACCTTGTACAGCTTCCAATGATACACACAGCCGTCTGCGGCACGCGTACCACAGGTTCACCACCGCTGATCTAGGCTCTCTCCTCCCGTCAGAGATCCTGGACCTCAGGGTTAAGAAGGAGCTCCAGGAAGCGAGGATTCTCCCTGCGGCTGCAGGGTGTGCCCTGGGTGCGGGGCGAGCTCTTGATTCCCCAACCTAGATGCTCCGAGGCTATCCTGATTTTGTACTTTCTGTAGGAGAGGTCAGAGGGGACACCCGCAGCTACTTCTGTCCTGTCCTCATTCGTGGAGCGTGGGGGATGGTGTCTGTGGGGGGAGCAGCTTCTGGAGTGCAGAGGTGAAGGCACAGGGATCCCTGCTGCGAAGCTGCCCCAAACCCGGTCATGGGTCTCTGACGCGCCTCTGTCACCGGAACAGGCCTGAGGCTCGCTTGCCTCAGCCTCGTCTCTCCAGGCCTGCTCCCCAAGTGGGGCTCCTACCTGGCAGCCTGTGCATCCCCACCCGCCACCCGGTGCGACACACTGGCGCGTGTTTGCTCCTCGCTCTCCCACTGGCTTTAGGATAGCTGCTGAACAGGCGCATCTGCGTCAGAAACACCAGGCGTGAACTCTGCGGGCCGCTTCGCAGACCTGCAAATACGCACGCTGTCACGGGTGCCGGTGGCACCTTTGGCTGCTGTTGAGAAACACCAGGGAAAAGCAGAACTTTCAATGGGTTGCTAGGACCCAGGCCCGCAGGAGGATGAAAGGTCTGAGTTAGGCAAGAGAAAGAAAGTGCTTCTCGTCATGGGTGGTGGGAGGGACGACAAACTTCCACGGAACGTGCGCAGAGCAGCTTGCCTGGCGGAGACCCTCCTGGAAACCAGATCGTTGCTACTGTGCAGGCACCAGGAAAATGCCTGTGAAAGTGGTTCGCAGAAAAGCATTTACTTACCGATTTTCCTTCTGGCTTCATTTATACTTTCTCCCAGGGCTTTTGCTTCAGAAAATCTGGAAGCGGGGGGGGGGGACACACAAAAAGAAAAATGTCCTTTTTCTGTTTATCATACATCATGTTCTAAAAATAGATTTCTCAAAGTCTTTAAAATACTGTCATGGGAGGCTGAGGCAGGAGGATCGCTGTGAGTTCAAGACCAGCATGGGCTACATAGTGAGTTCCAGGTCAGTCTCAACTACATGGTGAGACCCTGCCTCAAAAAAACACAAAATAAAATAAAGTAAAATACCATCAAACTTTATGGAACTTAGCTGTTCATCTCACATTCTTTAATTTATCCCCTTTGATCTCTCTCGTGTCCCACGCCAGGGTAGCAGAACAAGGTATGCAGGTAAGGTGTCTGTGAGTGATCTGTTAACCATGCTACCAGGATCTTACCGCTGAAAGCCACCCAGTGTTTTTCCCTCATTACAAAGTAGTGCATCAGAGAGAGACTGGTGACCTGTGACTGGTCACAGACCAAGC